CCGTGGCGCAGCAGACTGGGCCAGTCAGGGAGGTCCGGGTCCGGGCCGAAGCGACGACGGAAGAGGTCGTCGAGGCGGCGGAAGCAGCGGACGGTCGGGTGCGGGCAGCGGCACAAAGTGCCACGGAGAGGCCCGATCTTGAGCTGGTACTGGCAACCCACAGCACCGAAGCCGCCGCTAGAAGTTGAGCTCCGAGGACCACCACCGCGGCCACCACCTTCTGGGGCTCCTGGCCACCTCAGCGGGAGGCGGGCCCACGGCTGCTGCTGTGGCTGCTGCTGCTGCTTCGACTGCAGCTGCTACTGCTGCTGCGGCTGCTGCTGCGACTGCTGCTGCTGCGGCTGCTGCTGCTCCTGGACACGTGCCCAAGCCCCCTCGTCAGAACCACTGTCTCCGCCACCACCACCTCCACCACCAGCACCACCACCACGCCCTCCCTTGGGGCCGCGGCGGCCCCGACGCTGTCGCTGCTGTTGCGGGAAGGCCGGCCCTGCGGTCTCAGTGGCAGGAGCAGCTGTAGCGACGACGGCGGAAACGTCAGCGTACGTGCACTAGGAGGGAGCACAGCACCAGGGTGCTGGCTAAGTGGTCAGGCAAACGCATGGCAATAAGGTACAGGGTAGCGCCGAATGGCGGGGGGAAGGCAATGAGCTGCGCGGTAGTGCTAGCAGCTCGGTAGGTAGCCTCTAGAGCACGGAGGTGAGTAGCGAGGTCAGCAATAGTGGGGAAAGCGGAAAGATCGGGGAATAGTACGGGGAGGATCAAGCGACCAGCGGAGGCAGAGGCAGGTGTGAAGTAGCGCGCAACTACGGCATATAGGAAATCCTTGGCGTTCACGACAGCAGTGAAGCGCGGACGCTGTGACAGGGGAAGTGCATAACTAATGGCAAGCTGCGCTACAGGATCGCGAGAGTCCCAAACAGCGCGAGCGAGCGCAGCAACAGCGAAGGCCTCACTCTCAGCAGTGGTGGGGTCAGCAAGGAGGGGATCAGGCGCAGAGGGATGGGGAAGCAAGCCATCAACATGCATAGCCAGAGAGTGCCCATCCTGACACTGACCTGTCCGGTGACGGCGAAGATCGACAAGCCAGGCGGCGAAGTCGATCGCGTGTCCCTCCGTGTCCAGGCGAAGCATAGCGTTCGTCATCGTGCAACCTCCGCAGCACAGCGTCACGGCAACACAGCGTCACAGCGGCACAACGACACAGTGGCATGGCGGCACGGCGACACAGCGGCAGGAATCCCCGGCGAGAAGACCGGGCGGAAGGCCGAGGAGGGGCCCGAGGCATGTGAGGGGCGAGCAGGCATGGTAGGGACCGGCACGCGCAAAGGGCCGGCGAGCAAGGGAGGGGCCGGAGAGCACGTGAGGGGCCGGCGGGCACGTGAGGGGCCGGCGAGTGCGTGAGGAGGCCGGCGAGTGCGAGGAGGCCGGCGAGCACGCGAAGGGCCAGCGGGCGCGTGAGGGTCCGGCGAGCACGAAGGGCCGGCGAGGCGCGGAGTGGGCCGGGCGGGTGCGTGAGGGGTCGGGCAAGCGCACGAGGGGCCAGCTAGGCGCTAGGGGCCGGCGGTGCGCGAGAGGGGCTGGCTAGGTACGAGGAGCCGGCACGGCGCAGCGCGGGGCCGGCTAGGCGCGAGGGGCTGGCGGTGCACGAGGGGCTGGCTAGGCGAGAGGGGCCGGCAAGACGCGCGGGGACGGCTCAGCGCGAGGGGCCGGCTAGGCGAGAGGGGTCGGCTAGGTGCGAGGGGCCGGCTAGGTGCGAGGGGCCGGCTAGGTGCGAGGGGCCGGCTAGGCGGAAGGGGCCGGCTAGGTGCGAGCTGGCTCGGCGCGAGGGGCCAGCTGGGCGCGTGAGGCCGTCACGGCGCGAGGGGCCGTCACGGCGCGCTAGGGGCCGGCTAGACGCGAGGGGCTGACGGGGCGCTAAGGGGCCGGCAAGGCGCGTAAGGGATGGCGGGCGCGCTAGGGGCCGGCGAGGTGCGCTAGGGGCCAGCGAGGTGCGTTAGGGGCCGGCGGTACGCTAGGGGCCGGTGGGCGGTAGGCAAGGGCTAGGGGCGGAAGCGGGTGGGCGGACCTAACCTACTCATGATACCATGTTAGAATACAGGAATAGATTAGAACAAGAGAGTATAGGGGAGATATAGGGTTGGAGTTGTACTCTCTAAGAACACTAGTCTATCTAGCCTATAACTTCTACCGTAATCCCCCGGATATAACACCCCGGGTATAGTACAAAATTCATGCAAAATCAGGGGGGTGGGTGCTCTATTTTGCGTTTAGGCTATAGCACCCTGGTGTTATATTTGAGGACAGAATTTTTAAGATGTGCATTAGATTCAGTGCGTCATGGCGATTTCAGCCATTCAAATTCCGGCTGAAAAGGCGTACGTTTTCTCGAGGTCCGGAATAGCCCCGGATTGCCCACTTGCTCACGAATTTCAGGTTTGTGTCAGGTTAGTGAAGCGAGATTGGGGGGTTGGCGACACTCGCAATGGACTGAACGAAAATTGCGACGCTCATCAGCCAATCAGCGCAGGTCTGTCGCACAATTGAAACAAAAATTGTCGGCTCACTGCGCTTTTCCAGGTGAAGATTTGTTTCACTTTGTCGTTTTCAGTACCAGAGAACCTCGTCAAGTGCCTCGGAAAATTTCAACTTTTGCGTCCTGGTCATAATCAGCATGAAATAGCATGAAAAAATTGCATTTGTTGCTGGTATTGTTAGGGGTAGTAGAAGGGTTCGAATGTAATGGGGGGGGTGCTCTCCTGGAACCCTCAAAAAGAGGGTGTATAATTGCGGATTCTTCAATAGAACACCCTCCCCGGATATAACACCAGGGGGTGCTTAATTTCGGCGGGTGTTATATCCGGGGGATTACGGTATATATAACCATATGCATAAATTGACATCCTAGCCGTAGATGAAATCTTGTTAGTTGCAGGAGGCAGCTTTCCTCTTGTGCTGGCAGGTGCGGCTTCCTCGGATTGGTTGCAAATGCAGCACGTCATGACATTATCGCCAGGCTGGCCCGGGTGGAGGTTGGGGATCGTCATCCAAACCTTGCTAAAGGGGTCATCCTGAACCGTGCATGTATTTCTGCATGTTATGCCCCAAATTCATTTTGCATTATACAGGACATGTGCATTATATTTTTCCAGCCTCCTGTAACACCCATTCGTTTTTTTTTTTTTTTTTTTTAATGATTTTTTTACAATACCCTACGGTGTTATATACAGGGGAATACGGTACTCATTAGTCAGGACTCAAGACACACACAAAAATCCAGTGCATAGATATGGGTACGGTACTAGCTAGAATAACCAGGGATTTGGACACGCCAGAGTGGGGACGAACGAATGCAATGCTGAAGGTCGCCGCATTAGGGTTGCTGGAAGCATTTGCCCTATGCAGGTCATGGTAGCACTGCAGCCTTCACGCCCCCCCTGGCAGCACAATATCCATAGCTACTTCACCAACTACCGTACATTAGCAACGCCTTCGCCTTCCTCCTTCCCTTCAGCGCCTTCCGCATCAGCATTGCTAGCATCACTGCCCTTGACAGCCGTTTTGAGTGCTGCCACTATGCGCTCCGCCTCAGCATCGATGTCCAGCGCTTTCAGCTTTCCAAACGGACGCGGCATGGCCTGTGCACATCACATCACACAGCATGCTGTGCTTAGTTCGTGCTCCAGCTAGTAGAAGATTGGAAAGTTCCAGTGCTCATGCACCAACACGGATACTAGCGCCACAAAGGAACATGCGACCCCGGGGCACAACGGCACCAGAAGAGAGAGATAGAGAGATGGAGAGAGAAGAAGAGAGATGGAGAGAGATGCCGAGCCACTCACAAGAAGGGAGATGAAAGTGGACGAGCCATCAGCCAGGCGCACTTCGAAGCATCCTTTCCGAGGCTGGTCGCACACGAGCACGCAGACAGCGCAGGTTCAATGCAGCACAGAGGGGGGGGGGTTCCATTCCAACCAAGCAGTGGCAACAGCGTCAGCACGCAACGAGATTTTGAAAGGCAAGGAGATGCGCAAATGCGGATCGAGACAGACAGATGGTCGGGACCACGAAAGGCGTGAGCGTCCGAGAGGTTGAATGGGCGCGAGGGTCACTCACCTTCTCCGGGTTGACGGAGACGGCGAGGTCCGGCACGGCCGCCTTGAGCAGCTTCTCCAGCTTCGCCGCGCGCGTCTTGAACGCGCCTCATGACTTGCTGCGGGTTTGATGGGCAAACAGGAAACGCACGAGCGAGCGGGAAAGGGGAATTCTGACACGTGGGTGGGTCAACGCAGTTGAAAGGTAAAACGAGTTTTGACATACTCTGACCACACGATAGTGCCAATCGGCAGCCCCAGTCGCACGAGTTTTAAGGCCAAGCGGCGCTTGATTTGGAACTCAAAGGAATTCTTAGAAGGGAAGGCGAAGCGAGCGTGTACCAGGCCTCGATGATTAGGGTTCGCGCACTCCCAGCGTCGGCGCTGGCAGCCTCCACGGTAACCGCAGCAGCATCGTCCTTCGCTGCCCGTGCTCTCGTCGTCGCGGCCCTCTTAGATGGCGCCGCGCTCGCAGCCGCCTTCCTCTTCTTGGGAGCCATGGCAGGAACTCAAGTCTAGAAGACTGCTGGTAGTTCCCTGCTCAATGGACACTAAAAGGCTACCGTGTCTAGCCGAAGCTTGGCTGTATGGTGAGAGACTGAAAAATGTGTGATAGGGTTGGGATGGGAAGTGGTGTCGGAAGGAGAGAGGAGCGAAAAGACGCGAACTGCTGCGATTGGTGGCGAAAAAGTGGTTAGCCTGTCATGTGACTCGTCATCCCGCTGGTTGGAGAGGCGAACCAACCAAAACCAGCTCCCGTACCCGCTTGTAGTGCCCGCGTTTGTGAAATATTATGAGCAAAGTCAGAATGGAAACATGCATACACACACCTTAAACCCGTCCAAAGCCTCAACCACCTTCCCCGCGAAAACCCCTGAATGCCTCAAAACCCAACAGCGAAACCCCCTGCCCTGACAAACCTACACTACCTCTTCCGCACGCCCCCTTGCCGCACATCCCGCACGTCCCGCGCGCCCCGCAACTCCCGCAACTCTATTTCCCTTATCTTCTTCTAGCGCGAGTTTTTTTTTTTTTTTTCGAGGAGTCACAAGCGAGGCGCGCACACGCCGGACCGCGAAATTACGAGCCATGCGAGGGTCGGGAGTGGCGGCGGTGGCACCGGCGAACGCATACCGGTTCTGCGGCATGTGCGGCACGCTGCTGGACATGCCGACCGTCGGCTCCCTCGCGCAGTGCCCGCTCTGCGCCACGCAGCAGAACCTCAGAGGTGCCGCGCCGTCTCATCCGCGTCCTTTTCCGGCCCCACTATTTATACTAACCTCTCCTCCCTCCCTCTCGTCTGCCGTCTCCCTCCGCCCTCGCGCACCCCCACCGTGTCCTTTTCGGGGTTTTCTTGTAGTTCCCCCCGGTGGGTCCTCGTTCTTGCCTAAGGCGCTCCCTCCCATTCTCCCTCGCCTCCCGATACCCCATGCTTCGTTCTCCGCATGTCGCGTTGGTGCTCCCCGCATTGGCCACGTCACCTCGTCGATGTGTTCACCAGATTGGCCGTCGCTTGGCGTTACGACAACCAGTGGCCCACAGGTACGCGCGCTGTGCTGCGTGTTCTGTGCGGTGGTGTGCGGCGCTGTGCTGTGCTGTGCTCTTGTATGTATCAAACGTCGAGCTTTTGCTTGCGTCTCGCTCTCGCCCATCTCAAAGCCTACCCCCTCACCCCGCCTTCGCCCGCCTCCCGGCTCTCGGTTTTCCCCATATCAACTCCCCACGCGCCCTCCTTCCCTCTCATGTGCTTCGCCACCCCATGTGCTTCGCCACCCCATGTGCTTCGCCACCCCATGTGCTTCGCCATGGCGTATTCTTTTTCTTATGATGTCGTTCGTGCCCGTGGTCATTGTGCGGGCGGCAGGACCTAATGCGGCGATACGGCGTGGACCCCATCGTGCCGCTGGACTCCGACATGCGCGGCGAGGCGGGCAAGGAGAGCATCAAGGAGCGCGCCAAGGTGGGAGGATAGGGGTGGGCTGGATAGGGGGCACGCTCTAGGCACACAACAGCTAGCTACGGCCCAGCTAGAGTGCCTGCCATTGACTTGCTGCTGTGATTGGTTCCCTCCCTCCTGTCCCCCACACTCCCCCCTACTTCCTCCCTCCTTCCCCAATTCCCGCCCCACCCAACCCCCCCCCCCCCCCAATCTCACTCGTGCTGGAAGTGCTGATATGCATTGCTGCCGTACACTGTGACTCATCCCTCCTCTTTGCACCATATGTGTGTTGCTCTCTTGTGCGTGCGTGCGTGCCCGCCCGTGTGGCATCAGGTGAACGAGACGTGCCCCAAGTGCGGCAACAAGGAGATGGAGTACTACACAATGCAGGTACTGCACTATGTTGCGACCTCGCCTCAACGCACATCTGAACTCGTAACAGCTGCACGCACTTTGGTATTACTAGCCCATCATGGTCCCCCTCTCACCTGCATCTCACCTGCATCTCACCTGCATCTCACCTGTCTCATGGTCTTGCACTCACGTCGTATTGCGAAGACTTGACCTTGACCACCTTTCTCCCTGCCCCCTTCCTCCGTTCACGTGGTGCGGGTTGGCAGTTGCGGTCTGCGGACGAAGGGCAAACAGTTTTCTATGAGTGCACCAAGTGCAAATACAAATACAGCCTCAACTCATAATGCCAACTCCGAAGCATCCTCCTTGCTGCTCAGCAGACCTCAATGTGTTGTAGAGCCTTCTGACATAGAGATGTAATCTCATCTTGTAATAAATCGTTACTGCAGAGCAAGTTGATTTCCACGTCAAGGAACGGCGTAATAATATAATTTATCTGATGGTGTAACGACATGGTCAGAAGTAACGGCATCAGGCACCGTGGTGGACAAGCGGCCACCCCATCGGAGATGCCTCAAACTGGAACCTCGGCACACACACCGGTACCAGTAACCCAACCAGACGGAGGTGATCTGACATGTCAACCTAATGGAACGTTTCCTAGGTATGTCACCCTTGCAGTCATCGGAATCCCAGCTAAGATGTTGGGGCAACAAACCGGTAAACCAGATCCTGTGAAGGCAACAAGCATGCACTGGCTAGCCTGCAACCGGCAGGTGGTGCAGGGAGGGAGGGAGGGAGGGAGGGAGGGCAAGCTAAGACGAGGTCGTGGAGCGGGGCATGCTGCCAGGCCCCCGCCTCACACCTCCTTGCGGCAGCCCTCCCGTCTGCTTGGAAATGCGCGGCATTGCCACAAACGGTCGCTGCCCCGGCCCTGCACCCGGCCCCACTCTCTCCCCCCCATGCGCATGCCCAAGCCCTCCCCCCTCTCCCGCCCCTGCATGCCCCCCTCCCCCTGGCCCACCCATGGCCCCCATGCCCTGAGGTGCTGCAACCGACATGCCCCGGACCATGCTAGACCGGACACCCATCCCTCCTCCTGCTGCTGCTGCTGCTCCTCCTCCTACTCCCGCCCCCCCAGCCCCTGCATCCGCCGCTGCAGCTACTGCAGCAGCAGCAGCGGCTGCGGCGTCGGACTGGTGCTGGCAGGAGGAGCAGACCCAGCGCTGCGCGTAGTGGCCCGAGCGGTCCACCATCATCTTGCTGCCGCCGCAGCGCCCACACACCACCTTCTTGCATGTCACACACTCAAAGCGCCGCTCGCCCACTGTGAACCGCCTCCTGCACGCCCCCGCACACACTGACACCTGCGGGATGTTGGAGGAGGGGGGGGGGGAGGGGGGACGATGGGGAGAGGGATGGAAAAACGAGAGGGAAACAAGAAAAGACAGAGCTGTCATGGCACAAAGGGAAGGTGGGACGGAGAGAGAGAGGGAGGAAACGAGGGAGTGAAGGAGGGGGTATGCGCAGCAAGCACGCTCACCTGCGTATCATGCAGCACGATGTTTTCAGCATCAGCATCGGGAATGGCCCAGCATGCAATGTGCCCTGCAATGTCCCCTGAGAAGAGCTGCCTGAGCTCGGGAGTGAGGAAGAGGGCGGTGACAGCCTCCTTGTGCCACACCAGCTCGCGGCACAGCACCAGCTTCCACTCGGGGTCCACGCGCGGGATGAACGTCCCAGGGGTCAGCAGCTTCTTTCTTAGCCTGAGGTCCGCCTGCTGCTGCCGGGCTGGCACGATCGCTAGCTGATTCTGCTGGGTGGTTGCTGCTGCGGTGTCGCCCTCTGCCTGCTTGGCGCCCTCTTCCTTGTCCCCTTGCTCCTGCTGCTCCTTGCCTTCCGAACTCGCCTGCTGCTGACTCACTGCGCTCGCCGCACCCCCAGCAGAATTACCACCACTGCTGTTGCTACTAGTGACAGTCTCGTGCTCTGTCCTCTTGACCGACACGTTAGCCGGCACGCACCAGTCCATGCACCACATCTTGATGCTCCCATTCCGATGGCCTGTCAGGAACCACCCAGTGTCCATCCAGTCCGAGTGTGACGGCGTGGTCACACACGTAATCGCCTCCAGCATCGAGTGCGACGTGTTCACCTTGGCTAGGCAGTCCCCGTTCAGCGTCCACACGCTGAGAAGCGTCCCGGCTCCTACCACCACATCCCCGGTGCTGTCACTCACATACACCACTGACACCGGCGCAGGCATCACCGGCAGCTGCCGCACAAAATCCAGGGAGTTGAGATCCCAAATGATGACTGTATGATCGCTGGATCCAGTCACCACGAGCCCCCAGGCCTGGCTCATAGCAAGAGACGTCACAGCCTGAGTGTGCGCACACAGACGCCGCAGCAGCTGCAGCTGCCGCTGCGGCTGCGCCTGCTGCTGCTGCGCCTGCCCGGGCTGGCTCTGGGACTGAGGCAGAGGGGCGCGACCAGGGGGGCCGTCGCCCAGGGACCGCCAGATTGCAACCACTCCATCCGACCCTCCTGTTGCTATAAACGTGCCATCGCGGCTGACAGCGGCGCACTGGATGGGGCCGTTGTCGTGCAGGGCCTCGTGCGTGGCTAGCAGCTTGTCCTGGTCCGTGGAAACCACCCTCAGACTCCCGTCGGGGAAGCCCCAGAGCAGGCGGCGGTCGTTCGACGTGCCCTTGATTAGAGAATTTCCCACCAGCACTCCGACCTTGTCCTTCACCATGAGGATCTGAGTCACCATCTGGCGCACGTTCCGGGACTCCTCCATCTGGACCAGGTCGTGGTAGCGGAGGCAGTTGACAAGGGGCGGGCGCTGGTGCGTCTCGCGCTTGGGGTGCGGCTTGAGGAAGAGCTGGCGGGGCGTCTGGCCGAAGTTGTTGATTTGGGCGAGGATGGACGCCTTGGTGGAGGGGTCCGTGATGGCGTCGATGTTCACCGAGCCCTCGTAGGTGAGGTAGAAGAACACGTTCACTGCTTCCACAGATGCCTGGGGGACGAGGGAATGGGGGATGGTGTTTGGTGGGGAGGGGTGTGATGGGGAAACGCAACACGCATGTTCACTGGGCCCTCGTAGGCCAGGTAGAAGTCTATTTTTGAGGCGCCTCAAAAATCGTAGGTCAGGTAGAAGAACACAATCATTGCTTCCACGGATGCCTGGGGGAAGAGAGAACGGGGAGGGGAGGGGGGGCATGGGGGTGGGTGTAGCTGTGAGGCGCCTAAAAAATGGAGGCCTTGGTGGAGGGGTCTGGTATGGCGTCGATGTGCACTGAGCCTTCTTATGGTGGAACAACACGTTCACTGCCTCCACAGATGCCTGGGGATGGGGGATGGGGTATACGATGGGGTATGGGGGATGGGGGTTGGGGTTGGGTGCGGGGTTATGACGAGAGAGGGTTGAGACAATCGCGCAAGGAGGGGCATTTTAGCCATCGAACGAGCTAAGCTTATACGGTGCACAGAGACAGTCCTCCCATTGATTCTCTTCTCCTCGAATACTACTTTGCCCGGCTAAAGCATCCGCTAAGCGCATACCGGTCCTTGCTGCTTGTAGCCGAAGATGAGGTCGATCCACTCGTTGAGGTGCTCTGACACGTACGGCGACTCGAGTGCCTCCCGGTGCTTCCGAATGAACTCCTCCGGACTGCCGTTGGCCCATGGGGGCAGAATCACGTTGTCCACCTGATGGGGCGCAGGGGAGGGGGGAGAGGAGAGCGGAAATAGCCAAGACGTGAAGTGCACACGCGTGGCAAGAGGGAGGGGCGGCAAGGAAAAGGACAGATGCCACTAATGTGAGCAGCCATATGCAGATAGATAGTCCAGCATTGCAGCCCACTGGTTTCCCTCTCCCACACAGACGCACATGCACACTCCCACGCACACGCACTCACCCCTTCGCCGCTCTGCTTGACCCCCAGGTCCAGATTGAACCGGTTCTCAAGGAACGTGGGCACGTAGTAAAACTCCGGGGTGAGCTCTTTAACATCCGCCGTGTGCCCCGTGCTGGCGGACTTCCAGGTCTCCTGGATGCTGTAGAACATGCGGTCCGCGTGGTCAAAGTGCCCGCCCTGCAGCTGCATGTTCTGCCGCGAGAACGGCGGCAGGCGCATCAGGTAGTAGAGCACCGTGCCCGCGCTCGAGTAGTGCGACCCGTAGTGGAACCGCGGGATGTCGGGGTCGTCCCATGTGTTGTACCTGGTGGGGGTGGGAGTGGGGGTGGGGGTGGGGGTGGGGGGATTAAGAGTGCGGTATGGGCCATGGGCTGTGCTTGTGAGTATGCGCGGTTTGAACGGCTCGTGCCATTGAGCAGTATACACCTGCGCAACAGCTTGTGAGGAGATGTACTCTCACGCGCTAAGCCATCACGCGCTCACCTGCGCACAAACTCCTCCTCCCTCTCCATGGTGATGCACCCCATGGGCTTATTCAGCGGGCGGAAAGAGCTCGGATCGCTCAGGTCCAGCTCCTGGCTGAGGTAGTCCGCGAGCACCCAGGGGAAGACGGGGTACTGCGTGAGGTCGTTGTACCCGCGGCCGGCCAGCGTGTTGAGGTGCATGAGGTAGTGGAAGTTGCTGATCTCGCCCGCCTGCCACCGCTTGCCCAGCGACTTGGCCATCATCTTGAACAGCCGGGGCGGCTCCGCTGACTCCGTCGCGTTCGTTATCGTCGAGTCCAGGCTGGGAGGGGGGGAAGAGGGGGGGGAAGAGGGGGGTGGGGGCGGGTGGGGGGGAGAGAGGGTGCACGGGGGTTCAAGGGTGGCATGGACGGGCATGGGTTGAAGAAGAGGGGTGGGTTAATGGGAAAGCATTGAGGAGTGGCTGCTGCTGGACTACTGGCAAAAACGGAAACTCCTTCTTTGCGTCCTCAGGTAAAATCAGATCAAGCCAGAAGACACCCCCCCGAAATTCTTACACCTGCAACAAGCCCTGCAGACAACACTCATGCCGATATTAAACCTAATTTCAATCAACCACACATCGCAGAGGCAGCACTCACAGGCTGTTTTTGGGGAGGTTCATGGCTTGGAGGTTCTTAAAGCACTCATCGCGCTCATTGAGGTGGAACACGAGCAGCTCGTTGTTGCCCGACATGGAGAACAGCTCGATGGCCACGGGGCGCAGCTGGTACCGCCGCTTGAGCACCTCGTGCACCTCCTCGTGCTTCCACTTCTTGCACTCGTGCGACAGCACCGCCTCCTCCGCCGCCTCCTCCTCCTCCACCTCCCCCCCTTCTCCTGCAAACTCCCCTGAATTCTCCCCGCCGCCACCCCCCGTTGCACGCCACGCTGCTACCGTCTCCGCCCACCCGCCCACCAGCCCCACTCCGTGCCGCTTCATGGGATTCGCCCCACAGGCAGCTGCAGTAAACCCTGTTGGCTTCCCCGGTTTCATCCCCAGCGCCTGGTCCAGCACAGACACTGTCCCCTCAGCCTCTTTCTCGCGGAACCTGCCAGTGCTGTCGATGAAATAGTTGTCGATGACGTAGAGGCACTGGTCGCCGATGAGGAAGATGCCGTCGCGCTTGTCCAGCCCCACCACGCGGTCGCAGTTGTAGCGGAAGCGGATGCGCTCGCCCGGCTCCAGATGGGGCCGGATGAGGTACTCCCCGTCGTCGTTCTCTGCCCCTCCACCCGCCCCGCCGCGCAGGCAATCCACTCCGAGGTCGTACCCCATGCGCTTGCTGCTGCCGCGGGACGCGGGGTCTGCGCTGCTGCTGCCACCGCTGCTGCTGGCCTCTATTCCCCGCCCTCCGACCGTGCTGCTCGCACCAGCACTAGCAGTGCCACTCACACTTCCGCTCACCCTCTCCGGTTTCGCTGCATCAACCTTGGCAGCATCAGACGCACCACCCCCCCTCTTTGCGTTCTCAGCTTCCTTCTCAGCAGAGTCGCTAGCCTGTCCCTCCACCTCCTCCTCCTCCAAAGCCTCCATGTGCGAGGCAACCAGGTCAGCCAGGCTGCCCCCCTCGTCGTCTAAGTCCACCATGGTGGAATGGGCACGGTATATGCGAGGCGGCGTGCCGTCACTCACTGATAGCTGCAGGTACGACTCCTCACCCCCTCCCTCCTTGCTCTCTGCACCCCCCCCTGCAGCATCCGCTTCTCCCTTAGCTTCTCCTTCCCTGCCCTCCGCCCCATCCTTCCCCTGCGAATCATCCACATCCTCTTCCGCTTTCTGCTTGCTGCTCTCTGCCTTGCTGCTCTCCCTGCTGCGCCGCTCCGCCTCTCTCGCCTCCTCCTCCGCGCCTTCCACTATGGGAATCGGCTCCGGCTCAATGCACGTCACGCACTGCTTCTGCCTCAGGTCCACCTGCACCTTGCTGCGCCTCATCTTCTTGCGCATGCGGAATGGCCCCTCTGTGGAGCACAGCTGCCACTGCAGCGTCCCCGCTTTTTCCTCCTCTCCCTCCGCCTCCTCCCCTCCGTCGCCCTCCTTCTCCCCCCCTTCATCTCCCCACTTAGACTTCTGTTTCGCGTCCAGCCCCCCCCTCCATGCGGGCCAGATTCCCCTCTCGTGCACCAACTGCTGCAGGTGCCCCTGCCACTCCCTCTCCGCCTGGAGAACCCACCCAAACTTGTCCTGCCGCCGCACCAGCAGCTCTTTAGCAATGCCAAACCGCACCTTCTCTGCCGTGCTCACATTCCCCACTTGCTGCTCCTCATACCTCGCCAGGGACCGCAGGCTATCCCGGGCTCGCCGCTGAGCCTCCTTCCGCCGCCTCACCTCGAGCACCTTCACTCGTGCATCCGCGGCACGGGCAGCGGCGAGCACTGCGTCTCGCCACGAGGGAGTGGCCTTCTGCCCCAGCACTTCCACCACCAACGCCTGAGACCCCACCAACCAGTGCACGAGTGACGCTTCGCCATTCTGGAGCACAGTGTCGAACCCCCCGTGGAATAAGTCCACCACGTCCCCTCTTGGCGTGCGGAAGGTGAGCATATCCTCCAGCTCCTTGGCTCGGTGCGCCACCAGCACCTTCCACGCCTCTGCTGCCAGTGCAACGTGCTGCTGCTGCTGCTGGATCAGCGAATCCCTCTCCTGCCCCCCCCCTCCGCCTTGTTGCTGCTGCTGCTGGGTGGACGGAAGCTGGAGAATCATGTAGGTGAGATTGTGGCACAGGCATGCGACGAGGTCCAGATCCACACTCACGCTTGACAAGACAATACCGTGGTTAGCTAGCAGCAAGTGCAGGGAGTCCGATCGGTCCAGGCTGGGGTCGAGAGCAGGGACCAGGCGCCTCTCCCCGACCCACGGCTCAGCCGCATACGTGAGGCTCGTTCGCACACACCCTGTAATCTCGTCCCCGTCCTCCCCGCTCGTCACGGCCCGCACTCCCACCATGTCCAAAGGTAAGAACGAGTATAGCACCAGGCGGCCACAGGCTTTGAGGAGCGCGAGGATGTAGGGCTCTAGGAAGGTGCCGCGAGTGCGGATAAGCAGTCCTCTGGTCGCTGGCTGGGCGTTTTCAATCAGCCCGTTGGTGTTGGCGGCTTGCAGTAACTGCAGCATAAATTGCAGCACCTGCTTGCACGACTTAGGCCGGGCAAAGGACCCGCAGAAAGCCGCGTCTGCAAGCACAGGAGCAAGGGCCTCTAGATTGGGCCCCCAGCGTGCACGGTCCAGCTTGCTGGCTTCTGCGCTGCTAGCAAGCAAGCAGCGCTCGAGAACCAGCAGCACTCGCTGCAGCCACTGGCCAGTGAAGACCGCTGCAACATCGGCAGGAATATCCCCTGGCACTGCATCCTGCACTGCGTCTAGCAGCGGCGCACTCTTAGCCACCTCCAGCAGCGCTCCCGCTACCACTTCCCCAATGATATCCAGCACTAGCCCTGCTGCCACCGCGGCCACATTCCCCTTCATACTCTCCGCATCCACAAGGAAAAGCGCCTCTGGGACGAGCGGAGCCAGGCCATCCGCGCCCTCCTCCCCTCCCCCTATCATCTCCCCGTCTAGCTTGCCGCTGCCCGTCTGCCCCAGAGAGGAGAGCGTGCTGGACGCAATCTCCTCCATGGATTCCCTCGTGCCGCCCAGCCACGTCATCATGGACGCGGCCGTGACGCTGAGGTGGCGTGCGAGCGGGGAGTTGTAGGAGGGCGAGCCTGACTGCCCTGTCTGCGCGCCTGGGTGGCCTAGAAGAGCACTCGCACTGCCAGACGCAGTGATGGCAGGCCGGCTCGCAGTGCCCATGGCAGCGTCTGCAGAACCAGACAGGCGAACCCGGGCAGCCTTCCCATTCCCCTCCATCCCATATCCCCCCCAGTTCTCCGCCACCTCCTCCCCCTCCTCTTCCTCCTCCTCGTCCTCCTCCTGCCCCTCCTTCCACTGGGTCCCCTCCTGCCCATCGTCCCCATCCCCCTCGTGATCGCCCCCTGAGGCGATGGCCTCAAGGGAGGAGGTGCGGGAGGCCTTGCGGGGAGGCGCATGGGATGAGGAGCGCGGGGAGGGGGGACGCGCTGTGGCCTTGCGAGCTGACTCCGCACAGTGCCTGAGGATGGGGGGACGAGAGGCGGGGGAGGGGGAGGGGGAGGTGGGAGGGAGAGGGGAGGTGATTTTGGGGAAAAGGGGAGGGGAGAGGAAGGGTTCGTTGCGGAGGGTGGAGCCCAAACCTTGGGGAAGTAGGGGGACATGCTGTTTGGATGGCTCACGGGTATAACAGACAGACCATTGAGCAGGAGATACATCCGTGACCACTATCTGGCACGCACAAGGTCACACGAGGGATGGCAGAGAGCTCACGAGGGCACACGGGCACGTACCGCATGCAGGCAAAGAAGAGGTCCAGCAGGCCCTCCAGGCACTCTGGGCGGCGAGTGGCAGCAGCCAGCGCAGTGGGCCCAGGACAATGCACTCCATGCAGCCAGAACCGCAGCACCCCCACCACCAACGCCGATGCCCCCTCCGCCCCTCGCCTCAGCGGCTCTACCAGCGCCTGCCTCCCCCCTCCACTCCAGTCCCCGCTCTGACCCGCCCCTGCCCCCCCTCCGTCTCCCTCAGGCCCACCCTCCCCAGTATAGCCTATGGCACTAGCAGCCCCAGGCACCTTTCTGTCGGTACTTTGATCGGGGACAGCGGAGAGGAGGGCAGCGCGCAGCATGGCCAGGACGGAATCCAGCAGCTCTGGGAACATGAGGTCCTCGCCTGGGCTTGCCTTGAGCGGCAGCAGCGCATGGAGGTCCACCAGGCGCACGTCCTCCCTGTCGCAGAGCGATGGCTTGGGGTCAGCGCCGAAGAGAGCAGTGAAGAGAACCAGGAAGATGTCTGGCTCGCCGTGGTACGAAGCCAGCACGCGCGAGAGCGAGAAGAACCCGCCTGCCTGGCGGAATCGCGTGGCAAATTGAGTGGGCGAGCGCAGGGAGTCGGCCAGCAGGATGAGGACGCGCTTGAGGGAGGACTCGTGCAGGTAGGGGTCCAGAAGGAGGGTAGTTACTTTGCTGGAGACGGTTCTCTGCCACAGGTCCAGGCGCTCGTCACTGGGGGTGAGGGCCAGGCGCATCTGCAGCTGAATGAGCATCTCGAGCAGCGCGTTACGCGTTGCCACGTGACGACCATACGGCTCCTGTGAAGCAATGGTACCAGCAGCAGCAGCAGAACCGGAAGTGCTTGGTGCTGCGCATCCAGTGCTGCTACTCCTCCCAAAGGATATCTCCCCTGCCCCGCCTGCTACCGCTGCCCCTGCTGCTACTGCTACTCCCCCTGCTGACAGCCCTGCTGCTCCTGCCGCCGCGCCTCCATTCCCCGACCCCTTGAACGTCATGAGTACAAAGTCCGAGACTTGCTTGGTCTCTGCGGGCAAGAACCCCGCCCCCAGCACGCCGCCAAGCACCCTCACGAGCTTGTGAATGACAGCCGGGTCCAGCTCCGTGTGCTGCAGCGCGAGCAGCAGGCGGTGCACTACGTCCAGGCGCCTCAGCAGCGCCACATTATGGCGGCGGAAGCGGCTGTGGGCGACTACGAGGTTGAGGAAGTCGAGCAGCTCGTGCTGCAGCTGCAGTGGCGCGATGGACCAGATGGTCCAATCCAGCAGCACGTGCAGCACCAGCCCCGGGCTGCAAAGAACCAGCTCTGACGCCTCTTCAGCAGATACCGCTGCTGTAGGAGACCCCAGGGAGGTAGCACCCAGGGAGTTTCCAGAGGCGTCTCCTGCAAGCAGGAGGGAGGATGGCTTGTGCGTGGCAGGCGCGGCGAGGGAGAGCAGGAGGGCGAAGGACGCGGGCGTGACTAGGGGCATGCGCTGGTGAAGGAAGATGGCGAGCATGTGGTGGCCGCGCAGTCGCCGCATCTCCTCCTGGTTGCGGGGGTTTTCTCGCAGGCACGAGGTGAGAAGAGAGAGCGCCAGGTGCAGGCGCTCCGCCGTGTCTGCCATGTCTAGCAGGGCGAGCAGCACTGACATGCCGCCGATGACTCGCAGCCCGTCTGCCACGCTGCTGGGGCAGCACAGCTGGATGTCCCCAAAAAGAGCTGCCATCTTCGGGCCTGGGGTAGGCGAGGAGAAGGAGGGTGGCATGCAGTGGGGAAGAGGAAGCACGAGCTGAGGTGTGATTGGTGAGGGTGGTTTGCAGCCGCTCAGACACCATGCAGTATGGATACGACCTGAGCATGGAGGTGCATCATCAGGCAGATGGATGTGCATAAAGGGGTACTGTGGACGTGCATGAGCATGCATTCATTCTACCCGTGTGTCCCACACACAACCACACACCCACGTGCCCAGACACCCACACACACCTCCGAGGGAGGAAGCAGCGCCATGGCTGAGGTCGACGAGGTTGACCATGGTGCGTGCCAGGGACGCGGGGCACAGCTCGCCATTCTCCTCCAGCTCCACCGTCGAACCATCAAACTTGAATATGATCTTCCTGCACGCCACTGCCGCCGCCGCTGCTGTCGGCTTCTCCGCATCCCACACCACAGGGCACAGCTCCCCCTCCCCTCCCCTCGCAGCAGCAGCAGCCATATCATGGAATATGGACGAGTCGTCCCCTTTGACCCATAGCCCAGTGGGGGTCCCCCCCTGCGCTGCCGCCTCTGCTTCTATCTTCTCCACTAGCAGCAGATTCCGGGCACAGCAGGCTTCGAGAGGGAGGAACTGCCGGATAGCCGGGTCCTGGAAAACCCCTCGGTACCCGCGGCCTAGCAGGTACATGAAAAGGACCGCAGAGGAGGGAACCGCCTCTTCAAAGAGCACTGTGGGCCCCAGCTGCCAGGTGAGCGGGCTCACACAGGCGGCCTCGCTGCCTGTTCCCAGTGTGACTCGGAGCAGCTTCCCCTGGGGGGATGGGGCGAAGGAGAGCTTGCCCGTCTGCTGCAGCAGCCCGTCCACGTAGAGAGAGGCGGAGTCCACGTGGAAGAAGCCAGAGAGCGCAGAGGGCTGCCTGAAGACCACGGTGATGAAGTGCCACGTGCCCTCTTTCAGCTGCACGTTGGAGAAACGCACCTTGCTGCTCGTGCTGCTGCTACCACTCCCCCCCCCATTGCTGCTGCTGCCACCAGAGGCACTGGCGGTGACAGACCCGCCCGCACCTCCCGCTCCGCCGGCGCCCGAGTGGGTGTTAGCGGCGAGAGTGAGCACACCGTCTTCCTCGATGAACATCTCCGCACAGCATTCATGGGGCTCCCCTGCCGGCGCCACACTGAACACCTGCAGCCTCCTGGCCCTCCCCAGCCTGCCACTATCACTCCCACCCCGCTGCGACCCAAAGCTCAGCCTCTCCCGCACCTCACACTCCTCGTCGCTCTCCTCGTCCTCTGCGTCGCTCCTCAGCCCAGCAAAACGGATCCAGCAGGCAAAAGAGAAGCCTCCAGCAGGGGGCCAGGGGCGTTCGCCTATGATGGCGTGAGCACCGGCATACCCCACGCGGCGCATGCTGAGGTCGGCAAAGGAGGAGACGGCGACGCTCTGCGCGGAGCCGGAGGAGGCAGCAGCCATGCGGCACAGCATGCGCAGGAAGCGCAGCCCCATGGGGTCGTGCGGCGCGTCTGCCGCCTGGCGCAGGCGCAGCGCCATGAGCCGTAGCTCCGTAGGAGAGATTCTGGGGGTGGAGGGGGGTGGCACGGGGGGGGGGGGGGGGGGGGGGGTCGGGAGGACAGGATACAGGAAAGGTTGAGGGTGGAGGGAGGTGTGAGGAAGGGCGGACGTATACGCAGGAAGGAGGTGGAAGACACAAGAAGGGTGAAAGACGATGAACGGGGTGGCTAGCCATGGAAGACGCAGAATGGTGCGTGGCTACACGAGAACCAGAGACGCACCTGAAGGTGCCGACGATCTCAACTGTCTGGAGAATGGTGTCGATGGTTGCTTCTGCAAGGGTGTGGGACTTGTGGATGAACAGCTCCAGCAGCACTTGCACCACGTCTGCACCACGCACAGGACACAAAGAGCACAGACCGTCTATTTTTGAGGCGCGTAAAAAATAGACTGCACTACGTCTGCACCACGCACAGGACACAAGAGCACAGACCGTCAGGACAGGTGGAGCTAAATAAAGAGAAAAAAGGTATAGAAAAGGCTCTCTTCTAGATGCAGCTTCTCCCATCCTATCACGACAGTCACCAACACCAACACGAGGCTTACGTATGCTACTGAGCGCCTCTGCATTGCGAGGGGAGAGCTTGGCCAGCACGAGCACGGCAGCCAGCAGGCGCTCGGCCGTGGGGTTGGCGAGCAGATGCAGGGAGTCGAGCAGCATCTGCACCACCACCGCATTGTGCACCGTCACACCCTCCCTGTCCTGCACACCGCCCACCTCATCCACCACCCACTCACACGGCCCTGACGGGCTCCCCCCTCCTACCCCCCCTCCCGCACTCCCAGACCCCACTCCCCCAATGCTCTCCCTCCTCCCAGACCCCTTCCCAGACAGCCTCCCTGCTGACCCCCCGCCCTCACTGTCTGACCCCCTGTCGTCCAGTCCCAGGTGCTGAGCAGCATAGCTGCCCTTGACAGGAGTGGGGGAGGGCGATGACGGCACGAGAACCTGGGGGAGGCTGGTGCTGCGAAGAGTCTCTGTGGCCAGGTCTAGCAGGGACCGGATCAGCCGCACGTCGTACGGGGGGGCGAGGAGGCCTGTGTGGGGCAGCTGCTGGGAAAAATCCTCGGGTTTGATCACACGACGCAGGGCGAGGCGGCCGGCAGGGTTGGCCTTGACTGCGCGCAGCAGCACGCTGAGAAGCGCGTCGACGAACTCGAACTTGAGCGCGAGAGGCGTCTCCCCCAGGTCTGCCAGCTGCGCTGCCTTGGACATCATCATCTGGTACCGCCCCGTCACTGGCGACGCCTTGCCCACGCCCCCTAGGGATAACGCCGACCCGGTTACTGCAGCAGACGCAGCACCAGAGCCACCCGACGCAGCCACAGCTGCCCCAGAGGAACTTCGTACAGGAGGCTTCCCAGCAGCAGCAGCAGCAGCAGCGGCAAGGGGAGCGCCTGCTCCTGCAGAAGCTCCAGAAGTAGCAGTAGCAGGAGCAACAGGTTTGGAGGTGGGGTCGAGAGTGGCGGAGCCCTTGATGCTGGCAATGACAGCGAGGCCCAGGGAGAAGCCATCGACCTTGAGGAACGTCTCCTGCACCACGGGGTTGGCAGAGAGCACGTGCGAGAGCGTCCACAGCACCTCCGTGCGCGCTGCTATGTCCAGCCGCCACATCCTGCCGCCCGGGGACCCCGCCACGCCCCGCCGCGCCACCTGCACCAGCCCTGCCACTTCGTCCGGGTTGGTCTGCGGGGAAGGGACAGGCAGAGAGAACAGTTGGAGATTTCCGAGTGGGATGGAGAAGAGAATGGGATTTCCGAGTTCAGAGCAAGCACAAGTGGGATTGGGTAGTGTGGCGGGGAGCAGAAAGGCCCATGGGTACAAACCAACAGGTTAACTAACAGTACCAGTCCCTCATCAGGTTAACCCTCCTGGAACCTCGGCACGGCACAAGACATCACTGGTGGGAGTGGCAGCCAATCACCTGAGCGAGATCCTCAGAGATGAGAATGGTGAGCAGGCGCAGGGCGAAGGGGCGGTGGCGGGAGGACGCGAGCAGCGGCAGCACGGTCTGCAGGCCGCGCTTCTGCCTCAGAACCTTCTGGTTGGCGGGGCTGTGCGCCATGAGCGCCAGCACGCACTCCCATGCCGCCTGGCACGTGCTCTCCTCATCAAAGAAGTATGAATGCGCTCCAGACATGCCGCCGCCCAGACCCATGCCGCCCAGCGAATCGGACGAGAGACGCCGGCCCAGGGACGCGCGCATGGCGTCCATGCGGCTCTTCATGACCCGGGACATGGGCGGCTGGTTGTGGGGGTGGGGATGGGAGTGCGGGTAATCACCAGGCTCGCCTGAGGCAGAGAGGGAGAGGTGGGAGGAGGTGGAGGAGGTGGTTGAGGACGGGGACTGGGGGAAGGAGCGTGAGGAGGTGGAGGAGGAAGGGGAGTCCGACCCTCCTGCTGCTCCCTGTGCAGCAGCGGCAAGCGTAGCAGCAGATGGGGACTGAGGGTTGAAGAAGACAGATGGAACCGAGCCGTCGACGAGCACAGGCGTGGACTCGGGAGGGGAGCATTTCCTGAGGTCCGACACGAGAATGTCCACCAGCCCCACGTCCCGCAGCACCTCCACAAAGTTCTGCTCAAAGGACAGGAGCTTGTTGAAAAATATGAGCGCCGAGCGCGAGAGAGACGTGGGCACGGGCTTCTGCAGCTCGATGCAAAGCGCGAGCAGCTCCTGCTCTGGCACTATGTTGAGCACTATGACTGTGTACTCCAGGACTTTCAGCAGCTGCTCCTGCAGCATGCGGGGGTACTGCCCTATGTTGCGAATCAGCAACTGGAACGTCTTGAGCTCCTGGATGACCGAGTAGTTCTCCGGGAAGAACGCGTACAGGTTCTGTAGGCGCTCCAGCACCAGCAGCTGCACCGGCAGCTGGTTCGTTTCCAGAAACACGTTCTGCAGCACGAGCACCGCGTCTGGGTCCCGCACCCGCAGAGACTCCAGGGACTTCACCTGCGCGCCTGGCAGGCACGAGAGGTCCTTCTGTCGGCCGGAAGGTGAGCGAAAGAAGGGGCGGGAGCCAGTGGTGTGTGCGCGGGGAGGGTCGCCTCCTACAGTCTGTGCCATGGACACGAGCGCATCTAGCAGCTTCACTAGTGCAGACGGCACCACTGGCTCCGCTGACTTCACTGCCTCCTCTGGGCTAGACCCCCCAGTCCCCTCCCCACTATCCTCCCCCTCGCCCTTTTCCCCTTTCTCTTCCCCCTCCGCCTTGCTTTCCCCCCCTGTAGCATCATCAGGGTCAGGTCCCGAGCCGGGGAGAGGGGTTATCGGGGAGGGCGCGGGGGCTAGGGGCGGCTGCTGCAGGAGCGGGGAGGGCGAGTTGTGGAGTTGCGTGACAGGGGTGGGGTCTGCAGGGGTGTCAGCAGCGAAGGTGAGCTTGAGCACGAGCTGGCCCAGCCAGAAGTAGCCTCGCAGGGAACGGAAGTCCTCCTTCAGCTTCACAGGACCCGCGTCTAAGGGATGGAGGAGGGAGGGGGGGAGAGAGAGGGGAGAGAGGGGAGAGAGGAGAGAGAGGGGAGAGAGGGGAGAGAGGGGAGATAGTGGGTGTGTGTGTGAGTGAGTGAGAGAGCAGAGCAGTGGAGGTGGGAGGTGTGAGAAGGAACACAGATCTTGGTGAGGTTTGAGAGGGAAGGAAAGGCGTGTGGGCGATGCAGGAGCGCCACGAACAGAAAAATGTTATCTGAGAGAATGCGGGCATTGCTCGGGGTTGTTGCAAGGCGAGGGATGCCTACCTGGGCGGAATGCAAGGCGGAGGCACTCGATGAGGGCGTGGACTAGCAGCAGCACGTGGTGCGGGTCACCCGAGTCCACCTCGTACTGAATCACCGCCTTCAGCAGCACCTCCAGCTGCGCCCGTGCAAGCACATGCAAGCACGCACCACACACACCACGCATGCACGCAAGCCACATACACCCCACACATGCAGGCAAAACATAAGAAGGTAAGGCATGTAACAGCTAGCTGGGCACAAGAGGTGATATGATGGGAGGAGGCGGATGTGAGTGAAGGGGTGGCTTGCTTGCAGTGAGGTACACCACACACTACTCCTGCTAGGTGAAACCACCCGTCATGAGTTGAAGATCATTTTTATCGGGTGAGTAGTATGATCGTGTCAAGTGTTGGAACAGCACAGGGCAAGCAGCAGAGAGACAGTGGAACTTACAAGGTTGTGGTTGTGGATGTAACGTGCGACACCACCAGTGTCGCTGGCCAGAGACAGCTCCAGAATCTGGCAAGGTATGAGCATGAGGACGGGGGTGCACAGCAGCGGCGTCAGGAAAGAGGAGCAGAGACGCGACAGGTTGAAGGACCCGCCATTGATAGAGAACGAATGAACAACGAACCAGTGTGCTAGGCAGGAATGGGTTCCTCCCTGGGAACCTTACGAGGGCAAGCACGGTAGTGCAACCAAACTGTGACAGACAGGGAGGTATCCAGTCCCAGAAGAGGGGAACAGGGAGAGGCAAGCCACATACCTCTGCTGCTGCATTCCGCAGCTTGGGGTCGAGCTCCAGGTTGGCAGCTGCGGCGCCAGCAGCGGCGCCGGAGTAGTCGCCCATGTAGCTGAAGGAGGGCGAGAAGAGCCCGGCGGCTGCGCGGAACATCTTCTTGAGTGAGTCGTCCTCTATCAGGCTCACCGCCGCGCCGCTGTGCACCGCCAGCCCCTTCATCAGCGCTATCACCCGGTCCTGGTGGCGTGGATTTGCAGCCGGGGTGGAGAGAGAGGTGGGGAATGGGAGAGGGAAGAGGCATGGGGAGAGAGGCGGGGTATGGGAGGGGGGAGGGGTATGGAGGAGCGGTGGGGTATTGGAAGAGGGGTGGGGTATGGTGAAAGGATTGGGGTATGGGGAGAGAGTGTGTGGAAGTACGGGGTGATGGCAAGGGTGGAGGAGAGGGGAGGGGTGTATCGTAACAAAGATGGGGGTGGCAAAGCCCAAACAAGAGAAGAACTGCGAGGAAGTAACCTCAGGATTACACTAACCAGCACGTGCTAGCCATGAGCACCCGCCTACTCGCTCACACCCATAACCCCAACCCCGCCTGCTCCCCCACAATGCAACCAGCTAACCAATAATTTGGCGGACCTCAACTTACTCCCTGAGACCCCTTAAGAGACGACCCCTCACCTCGACTTCCGTGCCTCGAGGGTCGAGCGGCAGGTCGTCCCCTTCGTCCTCGTCAGCGCCGTTGAAGGACCCCGAGTCATCATCCGGCACACAGAACTCCGTGAATATGGACACCAGCATCGACAGCAGCCCCGCGTCCAGCAGCCCCTGCACCTCCAGCGGCTGCACGAGGGCGTGGGGAGGGGGGTGGGGAGCGGAGGAGGGGGAGCGGAGGGGGGAGAAGGGAGGGGTAGAGGACCAGGAACGGTGATGGGGCGGGTGAAATGTGTGGACGGATTGATGGAGAAGCAGCACAACGAGAGGAGAAGGTGGAGGGAGGAAAAGGGAACGGTGTGGTCGTGGGCACGGAGGCGGGCTTTTGTAGGCAGGGAGGAAGTGGGCTTGGGAAGGGGAGAGGTATGAGAGCGTACCGGGGAGACGAGATGCTCGAGGCTTCTGAAGAGCACGGCGCCGGAGAGCTTTACATCCTCCTGGTCGTCGTACGACAGCAGCTCTATGATCTCCTTGCGCGGAAAGAAGCCCTTGGCGCCTCTGGCCCGGCGGCGCGTGTTGATCTCCTCACAGAAGAGCCGAGCCACAACGAACTGGAACGGACGCACGTCCACAAGACTGGCGCGCACGCAACACAAGGGGACACGATGGGACGGGGGGGGGGGGGGGGGGGGGAAGGGCGTGGGGAGGTGGGGTTGGTTAACGGAAGGGGAGGAACGATTGAGTCACTGTGGTGATGGATGGAGGCAGATGCCAGCGGGGAACCTTTCAGCAGCATGCTTGGCGTTTTGGACGGTTAACTGGTACGACACAGCAAGGGCACAAGGGCGCGAACTCGCTACACTGGAGTGAGTACAACGAGCGTGTTCAGGCGGGTGTGATGACTCGTGAGTACTCACTAGTGGACGATCTCCGCGACGTGGTTCTTGTCGTCCAGCAGCTTGCAGAAGAGCCGGAGAGCCATCACCAAGGCAGTCATGCGCTCCTGGAGCCAGGGGGCGGGGGAACAAGAGAGAGAGAGAGAACATCAAGAGTACTCAGAACCGCAAGTGCCAGTCGTCCATTCGGGTTTACTATGTCATTCAACCACGCGAAAATGGCACGCAGAAGAATAGGGGAAAAAAAGAGCAAAAAACGAAGGGATGGCTTACCCCCTCCGAATGCGAGCTCCTGAACATCTCCCATAGCCTCCTGAAGTCCGCGGCCCATTGCTCCTCCCTGCGAAGGGGCATCGGAGATGACTTTAGCTACGCAGGAGAGGCAAAGCAACGCGCTGAACCGGATTCGAAACCCGGCAAACCCTAATGCGTATTTTCTACAGCGCTCAGACGAATTCGTCAGCGACCTTAGCCCTTGACCAGAAACCGACGTGCGCTGTTTTGGCGTGCGCCGTCGGAACGCGGGCGTGAGAACGCTACCAACAGAAAATCGTCGAGCACGGATTGCTGCGAAAATCGTCGGTCCACGACGAGACCCAGCCTGAATCGCCGACGTGTGAAGCGGCAGATAAGCATGAGGGAGTTAGAGAGTTGGACCTACTCTTTGGTCAGTTCTTCGGGCCCGCCCTGCGCGTCTCTACGCGTGGCTGTGTCTACCCAGTCGCGTGCCGCCGATATGGCACTCGCCCAGCCTTGCATTGCGAATCCCCTACCCTACGCCAGCTCGCCTCTCTCTCTTCCCCCCTACGCCACTTCCTCTCCTGCTTCTGCGGCCAGACCACAGCGCCGGGTCGCTTGGTCGCGAAGCAGCGCTGCTGCTAGCTTCACCGTCGGAGAGCGAGCCACGTGTGTAGGCAGGACCGAGATCTCTGCGAATCCGACGGGAGAAATGGGTAGAACGACACGGCAGCATTTTGAGTAACTGGATGAGAAAGCAGAGACGAAACATAGGGTTGGCTACGATAGGGTAACCAGGGTTCACCGAAATCACCTCGCTTTGACCAGGGCAAACGGTTCCCTCTAACTAGGTTGACCAGGCGTATTAACTGGCCCTCTCGAGACTGAACCTATGACACCTCGGCGAGCATCGCTGGCTTTTCAACGCGAAGGGAGCCGCATTTGTCAAATGCCAGATTCCGGTAAACAGGCAGATGAAGGTACGAGACGCCAAAAGTGGGAGACGAGGAACAGGGTGCTTGAGGAGAAGCAAGGAGGCAAGCTAAGACAGACTACGTGGGTCTGGAATGAACGGGAGGCGACGGCACTAAAGCCAAGGGAGAAGCACAGTTGAACTGAAGAGCGCATGAAGCAACGCGCGACGAAAGGCGGCGAGAGACGAAGGCGCATGGGACGATGCGATAGAAAGCGAATGAAGGCGATGAAAGGAGAACGCAAGGCTGAATGGAGACAATGGGAGATACGTCTATCAACAGGCGGAGAGACTACATGAAATATCACGACAAAATTGTGATAAATCAACAGGTTGCTGCGACGACATTTTAATTCAGCGGTTCTATTATGGTTTATAAGTATCACCTTTTTCAGCTGGTCCAGGTGCAGAATGCGTGGACAAATAAATACCATCTACGCTGCAGGCCAAGACCTATTTGAAATCTGCCCTTGCAGTTTGACTGAAGCCCACCGGACTAGGTAAAATAGAACTTCCTAGGCCTAAGAGCGCTCTCAAGCGCTCGTGCTGGGCAAATGTTGCCTGGCACAGATCGTGTCGGATTTCGCAGGTCCCATAAGCATTTTTCTCTTGATGTGAAGGTGGTCCTGATTCAGGGACCTAGGGGTTGGTTTGGTTCCAGCTCTGGGAGTCCTGACAGGCTCATGAGGACTAGTCAGTGACTGCCCTGACTGAGCCTGGAGGAAGAAGGGCTGGAGGAGCATAGCATGGCAGTCTCGAGGATGGGAGGGACGGGTGAGGATCAGGGAGGGCGGGGCTGGCTGGAGGCAATCAATGAATGGTCATTGGCCAGTCCCGCTCAGCAGCACGGCCAGCTTGGCGCTGCTGTGCCTCCTTCCGGTCACTTATGAAACTTTTGAAACCGGTCAGGTCGGGTCAGATACAGTTGGATGATCCTGTGTTTGTGGGTGATGGATCCGACGGCGCACGGCAAGAGCCTTGGGAGGACTATGATGGTGAAGGCAGCTAGCGATGTTTGCGACGGGAAACAGGAGGTGGTTGCAGGCTTGAGATGCTTGTGATTGTCCAGTTGAAATCGTCAACATCCGCCAAACTCGGCCTGATTTCTTGAGAGCTACATCACCGAAATCTTGCCAGTGCCATGAGCCAAAAGCCCATCAGATAGGTGTTGATTCATTGTGTGCTCATACACAGAATGATTTACATGTCCCATTAAGGTGAATTTCGTCGTGCAGTCTTACTTGTCGCCAAGACGATTTCACCCCTCCTAATGACAATCCTCATATTTCACATTGAACTCATGTAGAGTATGAAAGACATATAATTGCTGTTATATCATATATATTGGCACCTGTTCAGTCATCAATACACACAAATTAGAGCTCATGCCTAGTGGGTGAGTTATGAAATAAAGCGATCTTCATATCTCCCATCTGATATTCTACACACATCACGCATGCCAAGAATAGAATATCTATTGTTTGCAACACCATCATACACCATATCCCTTAAAGGCCTGTATGAAGCAATGTGGGAAAAAAAAATAGGGGGTGAGTAGTGCTGGATGGGAAAGGGAGAAGCAACAAAGCAGCCCACTGTATCTTAAAAACGTGCTTAGACTCCGGGCTAGTCAAGCATGCTCAACCCCTGAAATCAAAGCCATGTAGCAAACTTATAAGGTTAGGGACATTACTTGGGTGCGAGCGAGGCAAGGAAGGCCAATGGCGGGTATGGGAGGTCAAGGAGTCGAGCTATCCTCAACACAGCATCAGATTTTATGTACGCACTGGTATGGGAAGAGGGAGGTCAAATAAGAAGTCCGGGAGGAGAGGCAGAAGCCGGGGTTGTGGGCTAACCAGGTGGCTAGTACCTGTATGGTCTGTCTGATGTTTGAATGCAGTAAAGGAAGCAAAAATTCCTACTACACTCTGTCAAGATGATGGCAACTCACCCATCCCTCTCAACCAGCACTATGCTGCTGATGTCGTCTGGCGAACGTCCGGAGCGAGCCAGCAGTGCACGCCCTGCCTCGCTTTGCAATGCAGCGAAGCGGAGACGACTGAAGCGGGGACCGAACATTAGTCGGAGTGGAACAACAAAATGCAGGACAGAGATGGTCAGGGAGGGGATAGGGAAAGGAGAGAGAGGTATTGCGGTTGATCTGAGCGCACTGGGGTATATAAAATAGAGGGGCTTAGCAGAGAAAGGGGCTCAAGGGCAGCTGATGAGGAGTTAAAGACCGGTAGAAAGCTCAACTCCAGCCATGCGTCACGACCTGCCCATGTGAACCGTTCACCCACCCCTGTAAACCGTTCACCCACCCCTGAGAACCGTTCACCCACCCCTGAGAACCGTTCACCCACCCCTGAGAACCGTTCACCCACCCCTGAGAACCGTTCACCCACCCCTGAGAACCGTTCACCCACCCCTGAGAACCGTTCACCCACCCCTGAGAACCGTTCACCCACCCCTGAGAACCGTTCACCCACCCCTGAGAACCGTTCACCCACCCCTGAGAACCGTTCACCCACCCCTGAGAACCGTTCACCCACCCCTGAGAACCGTTCACCCACCCCTGAGAACCGTTCACCCACCCCTGAGAACCGTTCACCCACCCCTGAGAACCGTTCACCCACCCTGTGAGCCGTTCACCCACCCTGTGAGCCGTTCACCTACCCCTGTGGATCGGCATCGAGGGCGAAATTGACACCGCCATTGCACATGTTGCACACTCCTGTGCACACGAGGGGGAATAAACAAGCGCCGAGCGAGAGTAAGGCAGGGCGAACCATGAATCGTGCTGCTAACGACTTTAAGTGGCTGATAGCAGAGAAGACTTTCCATGACGTGGCATGCAGCACGCCATGGAAGATTCGGTGTGCTACTCGATGACCGCACGCAATTACCGTCACGTCACACACTCAGAATCTTGAGATAAAACCAGGGGAGCACTGAGCGAAACATGTTAAGACGCAAGAGCAGAGAGCAGTCTGAGGAGGGGGGATTGAGCTAGGGAGGCCCAGGTACCGTCGTAAAGCACGATGGGTCGGTTGTCCGTCGCGAAATAGTCAACCACGCCTGATTCCGTCGACAATTTGACAGAATTCGCTGCAGCGGCTGAGGATGTATTTCGCCGACAGTGGAGATGGATGTCCCGTGGCGGCGACTGGGAGACGGCTGGCAGTGCAGAGCGATTGCTGGAGAGCGCAACGAGTGGCGTGCGTGTAGTGATTGCGGCTGAACAACGAGGGAGTGACGAAGTTCTGGAAGGTGAGGCGGTTCGAAGCACGGAGCACTGGGGACGCGAGCAGGAGAGAAAAGTACCAATATGCGCCCGAGCCATGGCTAGAAGGCTGGACAGCGACCCTGGCGCTAGAGATTCCTCCAGACGGTCAGTGCGGATGGTGGTCTCACTGAAACAGGGAGAGTGAGAAGAATGCTTACAACTAGGAGTAAGAAGATTGCTTACAACTAGGATACTTGAGTTGCTGCTTCTGCCAGGAGCCACTAGGGGATGTGTGGTACGGCCCCATCCCAGCCCAGCTGCATGGCTGCGTGAATTGCTCGCTGTGAAGTGTCAACCCCTGTGATCGCGAGGACATCGTGCGCAGGTTACCAGCTTCGCTAGCGACTCCCATCGAATCATGCTCAACTTTCGCTTTTCGAAGAGGTGAGTGATCAGGAACATGCCGCGTTGACACATTGTGGGGCGACGTGTTATTCGCTGAGGGCTGGCCTTTCATACTCGTTTGTAGGATTCTCGTTTCAAGTACGCTCTGTATCAGCACCGTCGAAGGATGCATACGTAGATACAGAACAACGACAGTCCGAGCTACTGCATATCAAAACGCAATTCTGAAAATCCCGCGCGGACAGGGGCTGCAGCCAATGACGGGAGACTGCCAGCTCACACTGGGACACCCACGACGTGGTCGGCTCTACGTGTCAAACGACAATCTCAAGGCTCGTGTCAACTACCCGCGCCAAATCTCCTATTCGGCAAAGCGCGCCGAACACCTCAACCGTACTGTACCTCTCGCGCATCCCTCCACAGTCCAACCCATTTGCTTCGCATTCCTCGCTAAAATCTTCAAGCCATTCGACCTGCTCTGTGCTGTCACATACTCACTGCCTCCGTAACGTTGCGCCATTCCACACTCCACCCCGTGAATCTTGGGGTCCCTGAATTGCTGCTCCTATCTCCTCAGAACCCTTAGAGAAGCAGCGATCACTTCTCCGTCACACCTTCCTCCACGGCAACTGATTCCTGTCGTTGCAGCAGCGGATCTAGCGAGACTCAAATCCGTGCGATCTCCTCGTAAAGGCCATCCCTTATTTTTCCTCTTGCCAGTGACCCTAAGCAACAATGGCCGCACGGACTCTCGCTATGTCGACCGTCACTGCGTTGTCCGGATCTCTTGCCTCCAGGGCAACAGATCTGTCCCAAAGCCAGCACTTCCGGCCGCTGCCTCAGGCCTTCACGTCCTCCTCCGTGTCTCTTAAGAGCAAGACGGCAGTGACCCCTGTAACGTGCACAGCGACGGCGCCTGACGCCAAGGCGGCGGCTGCCACGTCGGACGAGAGTCGCGTGTATAATTTCTCCGCCGGACCCGCTACGCTGCCGCGTAACGTGCTGGAGACGGCGCAGGCGGAGCTAGTCAACTGGCATGGCAGGTGAGGGGTGAGCGCCTTGAGAGAAAGCGAGCTCTTTTCCTGGTGAGTTCTCAAGGTGGTGCATTTGTGTAAGTTATGCTGCCTCCGGCGATCGTTTTCATGTTTATTGCACCGAAACTTCTCAGATCTATGCACATGCTTGGCTTGGATCGGTCGCGAATGAGGTTACGCTTCGCGCCTGCAATCGCTAAACATGATCGAATTCCTATGTTGCCTTTCGTGAGACCAATTTCTCGTTAGCGCGAACCTTCACACCAAGACCTCGTCACCTACATTCAGTAAGCGCCCCTCAATTCCACCTTTACCACTCTCCCCGCCTTCTGCTCATCCTCCTTCCTCCCTTTCCCCCACTCCCTTTCCCCGCGGCATTCCCCCCACACCTCCCCCTCTCCCCCCCCAGCGGCATGAGCGTGATGGAGATGAGTCACCGCGGCAAGGAGTACCTGTCGATCATCCGCAAGGCGGAGGCAGATCTGCGCGCGCTGCTCGCCATCCCCGACTCCTACGCGGTGCTCTTCCTGCAGGGCGGCGCCTCCTCGCAGTTCTCCGCCATTCCGCTCAACCTCTGCGCGCCCGACGACACGGCGGACTTCGTCGTCACCGGCTCCTGGGGCGACAAGGCGTACAAGGAGGCGGGAAAATACTGCAAGACGAACCTCGCCGCCACGGGGAAGCCCGGGAAGTACACGGATATTCCGTCCCCGGCCGAGTGGAAGCTGACCAAGGGCGCGAAATACGTGCATATCTGCTCCAACGAGACGATTCAGGGGGTGGAGTTTAAGGGGTATGACGATGTGGTCGCGGCGGTTAAGGCCGGGTGCGGCGAGGATACGCTACTGGTGGCTGACATGTCGTCGCACTTCTGCTCCTGCCCCGTGGACGTGTCCAAGTTCGGCGTGATCTACGCGGGGGCACAGAAGAACGTGGGGCCGTCGGGCGTGACGATCGTGATTATAAGGAAGGATCTGCTGGGCAAGGCGCAGCCGATCACGCCTGTGATGATGGACTACGCGATTCAGGCGGAGAACGAGTCGCTGTACAACACGCCGCCGTGCTACCCCATCTACATGTGCGGGCTCGTCTTCGCTGACCTGCTCGAGCAGGGCGGGCTGGCGGGTGTGCAGAAGCGCAACGAGGACAAGGCGGCTCTGCTCTACAATGTGAGTGTCCGTTGTGTGACACGGGTAATTCTGGCGTTTCCGGCAGTAGATTAATGGAGGGCTCTGTCTTCTTGCGGCTCCTTGCGTGTCTGGCTGTCTGTCCCCTTACTCTTGCCAATCTACCCTCCTTTCTCTGCCCACCCAGCCACAACCCCCTGTCCACACTCCCACCATAAACCCAGAACCACTCTCCATCCTTCCCCTTCCCCCCCCCCCCCCCCCCCCCCCCTTCCTCCCCTCTTCGCCTCTCCCTCTTCCCAACGCTCTTTCACCCCCCCTCATGCCACCGTAGGCCATTGATGGAAGTGGCGGCTTCTTCAAGTGCCCCGTGGCCCCGGCGGTGCGCTCGCTGATGAACGTGCCCTTCACCATGGCCACGCCTGAGCTGGAGGCGGAGTTCCTCAAGGCGGCGGCCGCGCAGCACATGGTGCAGCTCAAGGGCCACCGCAGCGTGGGCGGCGTGCGCGCTTCGATTTACAATGCCATGCCCCGTTCCGGCGTGGAGAAGCTTGTGCAGCTCATGAAGGACTTCCAAGCTGCTCACTAGATGGGGTGTCTGTAACTGGGTGGGCGCGAGTGAGTATATGACTGGTGGTGCAAACTAGTAGATGGAATGGATCGGTAGACCAGATTGACAGAGGAAATCATGTGGTTGAGACACTTGAAAGGGTATTGGTTTCAGACAACTCTGTAAATGGAAAGCTTAAGGTCCTCTAATTGAGTGACAAATGCTCCAATGATATGAACAGTATATAGCTCTGCTGATAAATGTAGCTAACGGTTGTTATGATATGCTGGTAGATGTCATTTTGTCGATGAAAATGAGAACGAAAATATTCATGCACATGTAGTGCTCATATACTTCAATGATTTTCAGGTCCACTGAGTATGTAAAACTGTTTGCTGCAAATGCTAAGGGCAAAGAGTGAAGATAAGTGAATTACTTATGCGAAATTGTGTTTAACAGACGTGAATGCCTTATTACTTCATATAACACTTGAACGTCCGCTATATCGCGTCCGCCGCTCTTCTTCTGAGCCCACTTCTTCCCTCCAAAACTGACTGCTCTCCGCAAACCAAAATCCATTGCGCTCCAGCGAACCATCCATTCCATGGCCGCTGGTTTTCGCGAGGCGCAATGACCCCAACTTAGGTTCGGTCGCCGCGACGATTCGCGTCCGCCTCGGGAAATAGGTTCCGTGTTCCCATTCTGATCACCTGGACACGCAATGTTTGTGCCGAACCTTTTAACAAGGCTCGTAGAGCGGCTTTCCCACCATTTTAGTGTTCGTTTTCGCGTACCGCGAGGCTTAGGGTCACCATGCGGCTCGTGTAGGTCCCCGCGCGTCGTCTTTTTTGCGATAAGCCGCGTGAATCTAACCAGACGACGACCGCTCGGGCTTTCGCCCAGCGGCTGCCTCAAGGTGGGCGATGTTGGGTTGGAAACTCGAGCACGAGCCATCACTCCCACCTCGCTCTCTCTCCATCGCCAATTCTAGCCTGTCTGCAATCCTGCTTCTAGTTTCAGCTTCTCTCAATCCACTCTCACACAGAATTGCTCCTCAGACCGTCACGTCCATCGCATGCTGCTCGCCAGACGACGGTCATGGCGGTCGCACGTCGCAGTCGCTCGCGCCTGCAGACGGACGCGGCGGTCCAACCGTAGAGTCCTTGACACTGCCGACGGCTATGGCGATCAGAAATCCGTCTGGGACTCCGCAGCGGTTACGTCGTGTGTGCATCGTCGCGTCCCCTTTGAATGGATCGCCATCCGACGATGGCGAATATGGCTCGCCGATGCTTCGTCCATCTAGGTCGCGAAAATGGCTCGCCGATGTCTCATCCCTTTCCCTGCATTTTTTTTCTGTACCCTTTTGTTAGCCCTTTTTTTAACCTTTCTCCTCGTTGTTTGCAAACGTGCAGGCCAAAGTTTCATCGCTACAATCGTCGCGCCATAGCATCAACACGCGACTGGCTGCGGTTCCAACATCTCGACGACGGTAGCTGGCCGTTCTTCTTCAGCGAGCAGGCGAAGCAAGCGACGTGCGGCGGGCAACCGCTGCTTGCGACGACCGAGGGCCATGTCAAGCGGATTGTTTCGTCGGCTGGTGGTTTTCACCTAAGGTAAAATACTGACAATTTCCCGTCAAGCACAGAGTCAACTGGTCTGGTTCAGTGTCAAAACTGACTGTTGCCGTCAACCTTGGTTTTATGTCAAGCTCCAGAAAGACCGACCTCGTCAATCTGAAGTCTTGCTCAGTCTTCAAACTGACTGTTTCCGTCAATCTTGGTTTTGGTCAGGCTCGTCGAAGACCGACTTTCGGGATTTCGTGTGCGACCTCGTCGGTGTCGTCAACCTGAAGCTGAGTGTGACGGTCAATCTCTGAAGCTGTGCAATCGGCCAAGCCAGCCACCCAAACCTGCAGCCTGCGACATCGAATTTGAAGCCTGGCGATCGTCAACAAATCTGAGTTCGCCGTCGTCAGCAATGTTTCGCTACGTTTCGCGAAATCGACGAAAATGTCACACGATGGAATAGCGACAAATGAACAAGGTTCGTCTTCCTGTCAAGTTACCAACTACCGCCGCTCTCAGCCATTCATACATTCGCCGTCCTTCAACTCTTGAAATTCTGCTGCTTGTGCCTCCTCCTGGCTGTTGCGCGAGACCAGCGTCTAGAATCTTATGCGGGGCTAAGTTCTAGTCTCCGTCGCTTGTGCTGCAGGTGCGACAGGACAAATGGTCGTCAAACCACCGACCATCTTAACGCTAGGGTGCACCCATCGCGGCGTGATCCGCACGTCGCGGCGATAATTGCTTGTCGCGGCGAGATTTGCACGGCATGGCGAGGTACGTTGAAGCGCATGGAAACGGGGGGGTCGTATAGAGCCGCCTAGAGAGTCCTCATTTTATCCACTTCGCTGCGTCCTTTTTCACTTCATCATGGTCTAACTACCTCGCTCTTGTCGCTCTGTCTCCTCTCTGCTGCTGCATGTCGGAGCAACGAGAATTCCCCTGGAGGCCCTTCCCCCTGCTGTGCTGCTCAGCCAACGCGCTCAGAATTCTCACGTAGCGGAGAAATTTTATCGACGTGGCGAGATCGCGGGAGTTCCATCGCGGCGAGATTCGCCCGTCGCGGCGAAGATTTACACTTCGCGGCGAGATTTGATATTGTGGCGAGAACCGCACATCATGGCGGCGAGGTACGTTGAAGAACATGAAAGCGGGGGAGTCGTATAGAGCCGCCTAGCGAGTCTTATTCTTTCCATTTCGCAGTGTCTTTTTCCGCTTTATCATGTGCTAACCACCTCGCTCTTCTCCCTTCGTCTCCTCCCTGCTGCTGCATGTCGGAGCAACGAAGTTACGCCTGGAGGCCCTTCCGCCAGCCGCGCTGGTCAGGCAACGCCTGCACGTGTGAGCGCCAAGAGCAAGTCAACGCTGTCGCTACGAGTCAAGTCAGCGTCGCCACAGCGGCCAAGTGGTATGCTGAGGATCATGGCAGTGGGGGGGTCGTACAGCGCCGCCTAGAGAGTCCTTCCGTTTGCATGTCGCCGTGTCGTTTTCTCGCTTGGTCATGTGCTAACTGCTGTCCCAGCTCTCCCCTCGCTTCCCTCCCTGCTGCACGTGGAGCAACGGATTGCGCCTGGAGACCCTCACGCCTGCCGTGCTGCTCTCCCTTCTAAGCTGACAGCAAGGCAACACGTGCCCGAGTCAGAGGCACGAGCAAGTCAACGGTGCTGCCACGAGTCAACTCAGCGCCGTCACCACCACCACTGCCCATGGGTATTTTGAGGAACATGCAGAAGGGGGGTCGTTTCAGTGCCTGGAATAGTGCCGCCTAGAGAGTCGTTTCTTGTGCATTTCACTGTGTCGTTCGTTGCTGGATCATGTGCTAACTACCTCTCCCTCGCTTTTCTGTCCTCTCGTCCCCTCCCTGCTGCTGCATGTGGAGCAACGGGTGGCTCCTGGAGGGACGGGGAGGAGCAGCCCTACTTGTCCCACCTGCTCGTCCCACCTGCTCGTCCCACCTGCTCGTCCCACCTGCTGCCCCGACCTGCTGGACCGACCTTGAGTGATGAGTGAGTACCTTACCCACCCTTCACCCTCCTGTGCGAGCACCAGCCGGCAGTGTTCTTCTCTTGTCCGTCAATTGACCCCGCTAAGGCTCACTCCGACCCTGTCCGTCGTGCTTGACTCCGCCCCCTCTGCTCCCAGCAAGCTGCAGAGCAGCGATGCGGAGGCATGGAGCATGGAGGAGGGGAAGGCAGGTGGCAGGGAGCAGCAGTGGGGCGGGGTGGAGCGCAGACGGCAGCAGCTGCTCTCAACCGAACCAACCCAGAGCTAAGTATCCCCCCCCTCCCTCTCATCTCTCAACCCTCTCTCGTTGTCTGCTTTGTCGTTTTTCACCATCCATCATAGGCTGTCGTTTTCTGCCCTGTGACACACCCAAGAGACCTCCCTCCCCCAAGGTAGCAGGTACAAAGATTCGGTACAGCCTCAGGTATTTCTTTGGTTCAGCCGGTATGCGGTCTCTTGGGTGTTCCACTGCGTCTTCCACTCATGTTTATTCCCCCCAACTCTCTGCTTCCTCCTTTCCTCCTCCACCCCCCCCTCCCTCCCCCCTCTCTCTCTTCTCAACCAATGGCCCCCTCCCTTCGTCCTCTCGCTTATGCATTGGTTGCACACGTCATTCCCATCTGCCTACCACAATCTCCTGGACGTAACCCCCCCCCCCCCCCTCACCCTCTCCTGTTCCCCCACCCTTCACCCCCCCCCCTCTCCTCCCCGTCCCCCAGCAGGGCCTGTGCTGGAGTTTGCGACTGCAGGGGGAGGGGAGGGTCGTGAACTGCGTGCTGTGATGCGCTTGCGTGGCCGGAAGCAATGAGGTCTGCGGCTGGGGGTACCAGCTGGGAGCATGCTAGTAGCCACAGCAGATAAGTGCACTCCCACTCTCTCTATCTCGCCTCTTGGCTGCTTTCAGGCGGTTTCTTTAATTCTTTGCACCACTCTGACATGCGCTCACGCATGCTTTCGCTCCTCATCATTCCGTCCTAGAACTAAACCATTTGCAGCAGCCTAGCTCACATGGTGCAGACCCCTCCACCCCCCCCTTTATTCCAGGTAATCCCCCCCCCTCCCGCCCCCCAAGGTTAAGCCTACCCATTAATTCCCTTCAAACTTACTACATAACCCCTTTCCCATTGCCCTAGGGTCTGCACCATGTGCCTAGTGCTGCTATGAACGGCCACCCCAACCCACACATGCACACCTCTGACGCTTCTACCCCTAGCTGCTTACTCACTGCTCTGCATTTCTTTCCTTGCCGGTTGAGGGGAGGGTTGTGGGAGTCAACACCGCCACTCCCCCGCACCCCTCCCCTATGGCCGTGCAGGTGCATGCATGCACACGGGGCGCTGGGAGGAATGCTGCCATGGGGGAGAGTATCTGGGGTGGGGTTGGCCTCTCATGGTAAGCGCCTATCCACCAGCCCCTCCTACTGTTGCAGATGATGTCTGTTCTTGGTCCTTTGAGTCCTCTCATGCTTTGCCTTTGCGTTTCCCCCCAAGCTGCACCTGCTGAAATCCCGCACTAACTTGTTTTCTGCCTCCCCCCCCCTTCTGCCCCCACCAGGGTACTTGGCATCATTTGAAGAGAGCAGCAGCGGAAGCCGAGCAGCAGACACCAGCAGCAGCAGCAGCAGCAGCAGCAGCAGTTGGGGTTGGGTGGTTAGCTGGCAGGCTAGGATAAGGATGAGCGAGGTATGGTAACAGGTCAGGTATGGT